GGATGCAATGTATATAATTTGAGTTCCCTTTTTAAGTTCCTAATGCTCAGAAAAGTAAGGTGCAAGACGGAAAACAGGGAAGGCCACCCCATTCCAGGATGATCAAAGGTTAGCTATTTTGTACATCTTTGAAGACTACTGACTTGTCCTTATGGTGGACAGATGCAAGTGGAAAGTTGAGCCTAGGCTTATAAGGTAGAAGAACTGATTATCCTTTCATCTGGGAAATTTATGGCACAGTTCTGGGTGAATCTGAAAGTAGGATCTCTACTATTTTTGAAATCCTGTCCAAATAGAACCCCTGCTCTGTCAAAATCAAAAAACAAAACAAGAGGAAAACACAACCCCCCAAAAGTATTTAACAGAAACCAAAAATGGAGCATTGGATTTGACCACATCCAGAACAGTAATGTTAGAATAACTTTCTCCAATTGTTTATGTATGACTGGGAATTCTGCAAGCTGTAGTGTCTACATATCTGGGGGGAACCATGTTGGGCAAGGATGCTCTAAGTATTTCCAGCATCGTCTTTTTGCTGTTGAATATTTCAGGTGTACAGGGCTTCTTTCAAACTAAGGTAGAGAGAAAAGTTCATTCAAAGGTGAAGAAAACATATTTCCCTCAAGTACTGTGGGGACTGAAGTGGTAAATATCTTATTATTTCATTATCCCAAGAGTGGTAATTAATGCTGCTCTTGGTTCAAACTTCTTTGGATTTTCAGTTTCCAAGTACAGAAGAAAAACAAATATATATTTGAAGTGAAGAAAGAATGAAAACAGATGTGGATATTTCAGATAGATGTGTAATATGTTATTCTTTTCTAAGGCCCTCTCCAGTGAGCATTTTTTTTTAATCACAAGAGGTCTAATTAAATTTCTGTCAATTAGATTTCTGTCAATTAAACAGTCATCCAAATGCAGAAGAAAGAGTTGACTTGCAGTGAAGATGGTGCCTGTAGTACCATTGCTGGTAGCTCTGTTCTCTCCTAAAGTATGCAAGGCTTATAATGCGGAATGTAACATTCATACTCCCCATAAGCCACAGCATATGTATCATGAATCAGGAGATTTTTTAATTGGCGGCATAGCAACTCTGGCATCTTTCTTGGACTATGCTTTATATTTCAGTGAAGAGCCCCAACCATCATTGCACGAAGACCTTATGTAAGAACTTTGATATATTTTCTTAGAAGATTTAGCAGTCGTAAAGCTGCAGCCTAAAGAAAGATTAATTAGCTTAATATAGAAAACACTCATAGAATCATAGATACTGAAGAAATGGAGCTCCTCCTTGCAGACACTGTGGAGAGTGAATGTGCCACATCTTAGACTGGGTGAACTCTGAGTGCATTATGGAACTCAGTAAGGCTTAATTCCAAGTAAAGGGATATAATTTCCCTATTTGACTAATTACATTTTTGGAGTCTTCTCATTTTCCACGTCTTCTTTCACTAGTTCTATCTTAGGCCAATTTTTCTTACCCTCAACTGATATCTCACTTCCTGACTTAATTCCTGCACCTTTTATTTCTTTACTCAGTAGATTTACTTATGTATGTGAAAGACTTGTTTGATTCTACATGTGCCAGTAGCTTCCTTTAAAAAAAAAAAGGACCATATTTGACCATATTTGAGGTACAAGAAATAAGGAAACATGTTAAAGTCCCACTTCCGTTTTTATTATCTTTTAATATATTTTTAAATATTCTGTTGTTGTAAATCTTAATGCATTATATTGTTTTGATGCAGTAGTATTTGTATAGTATTGTTTGTGGATTGTTAACACTCTAATATGTAGATAGCTTGGACTACTGAGGATAAAAAGGAAAAAGAGGTATTATATCAATATTAATTACACTTTAGGCCCTCAATGTTAATCAGCATAAGATTATTTTACTTTTTCATCCAGAATTGAATATAACATTAAAAAAAAACCCACTATAGATTGAATCAAAGTATTTGTTGTACAATAAAGGTTTCATTCCTAATCTGATTATTTAGTATTTATGTATCGATTCTGTTGCCACTTAATTTTTTTTACATACTGATAAAAGAAAAAAATAGATAAACAAAGCAAGTTTGGCAACAATTAAATACCAAAAAATAAGGGAAAAAGAAAAAGAAAAAAGAAAAAATCTATTTGGTTTCTAACTTCTCCCTTCTTGTATCTCTGCTAACTTACAATATCTATAAACATATGAGCCCTTTAGAAGCCAGACTATAAATGATTATATTTGCCATGCTGTTTGGTGTATTGTCTGCATGAGAACCATTCTTGCTTGAATTTGGTTAAATTTCAGTTATGAATATATGCATTTAATATAGCCATTGCTGCATATTCTCCAAGTTTAAGTTTCCAGTCAGATATTGTTGGAATTATATTTTTCTTTCAGTATTGGACAAAATTTATCCTCACTGCTGTGAGGATATATCTTTACAATAAATTGTGATGTTTCTTGTTGAGTTTTTTTTTCTGAAATTATACCTATTAAGAAAAATTATGATATCATTTCAAATTTAAATTCCAAAATTTTCTGCATTGTACTACTTTGAGGGTTTTTTTCCATGTCCACCACATGTGGTAAAACATCCCATCTATTCTGTGACATTTCCAACATTTATTACTGTATGATTTGGTGCTCTATACCATCCATAAAACATTTTAAGGTCCCAATTTACTAAAACTCAGAACTCGTTCCAGATTCAATAATATTAAAAATGAATCCAAGGAAGAAAATTGGGCTATAAGTTTATCAGAAAAACTTTAAATCCTCATGATTTAATTATGTTCAACACTGGAATTATTAGGGACCTTTTTAAATTACTTCAGTGTTAATTTCAATCTTACTTTTTCTCAGTTTTCCAAAAGCTACCTTATATGCAGAACCCTCTACATTTATAGAGTTTCTTTTCATAAACTAGATCTCTGATTCATCTCTTCCTTCTGGGATTAATTCTGAAGCAATTTCCTTTTTTCAATTAGTTAATCAGTTTTCAATGTGAGGTTAGAATTTGGGTCCATTCATAAACAGTATATGAGTTATGGCCCTCCAACTTATATTCACTTTTGGATTTCATTTATCTTAATCAATATTTAGAAGCAAGTTTAAAATAGGAGCACACCATCTAAGGCTTTGTTCAACCTTTATAGGTAAGCTTAATGGAAATAACCAAAAATGTGTGGCTTAATTTTCAAAATCTATTATCTCTGAAATTTTTGACTTTCTAAATGTATCATTAAATTCATCTTTGATATGCTATTTCTTTAATGAGTGACATATCTAAAACATATGTTTTGATTCTTTCTATTCTATCTGCATCGTCTGTCCATGAACTTGGCCACTTTAATAGATGGTTGAGTTCTCTTTGGAAGGATTTTTGCCTACTCAGAAAAACTATTTGATCATCATTCCTGATTCTAGATATTGAGATGGGACATAAGTTGCTTCTTTTCTTTAGGGGCTGTTCTCTTCTACACTCACATCCATTTCTTCAGAGATACCATATTACCTCCTAAGATATTGGGTTGTAATATAATAAATTATCTAATGGAAAATAATGTATAAGAATATTCCTTTATTGCATTGATATCTGTTACTGATTTATTTCATTTAGAAACCATCTTAGCCATAGAATTGTAGAAGTCTTTGCAGAAATAAAGCAATGGGGCATAAGGCAGTGTGCTAAAGTAACTATCACATCAAAACCCTCAAGAAATAAGAAATGGACCAGATTTATATAATATTAGAGAGGTATGCTCTGGAAACTGCAACTTTTCTAATTGATTCCTTTATCAAGAAAATAGGGAATTAACTTGTTATATCCCACATTTCTGCTCTATGAGTATTGCCTCACTCAGGTGATGTAATCACTTTCAGAAAGTTATATAAATATTATCAAAATACAATTTTAAGAAACAGGCAAAACTAGATTGGTTTTAGTTTTTTTGCTTTCCTTTTATGAAAGCTATAAATGTTTTCACATACAGCTTATTTTCTATTGTAGTTTGCTGCCTAAGAATTACCAACACATCCTGGCCTTGGTATTTGCAGTGAAGGAGATCAATGAAAATCCTCATCTCTTACCCAATCTCACCCTGGGCTTCCACATGTTTTCACATACAGCTTATTTTCTATTGTAGTTTGCTGCCTAAGAATTACCAACACATCCTGGCCTTGGTATTTGCAGTGAAGGAGATCAATGAAAATCCTCATCTCTTACCCAATCTCACCCTGGGCTTCCACATCTATGACAGTCACTATAGTGCACGGAAGACCTGCCAGGCCACAATGTTACTGCTTTACAACCTGAAGACCTTTGTTCCTAACTACATCTGTGGCATCCAGAATAATCTGACAGCAGTGATTGGCGGACTTGACTCCAAAACCTCCACTGAAATTGCAAATATCTTGGACATCTACAAGGTTCCACAGGTAGAGTGTATCAACCTCTGAGTATGTCTAACTATTGGAGCACAAATTCATATCTTACTTCTCTGGATCTTCATGGTATTTTAAAATCTGTAAATCAGAGAATTTACAGAGAGCCAATGGAATTTTTATTAGCAGTATTTGCACATTATATATGGTTCCTCATTACCTTTTAAAAGCCACTTTAGAGTATTTATAGCCAAAAGAAAGCAAGTTCAAATCATAGTATCAATGAAAAACATTGTTTATGATTTACTGAAATGTCATGATTTCCACAGGAGCAGCAGTTTAAACCTTGTGTAGCATCTTGTGCAGCATCTTTACAGCTAAGATAAGATAATTGATTGACGTTGGTTCTCTAGACACAAACTGTTAGAGGATAGGAAAGCCAAAGGGAGAGAGAAGCAGAATTGCTGCTATGCTCACTGCTCTGAAAATGCAGCTGGGAGACCAGTTTGCATTTGCCTTTTCCTCTAGAGAAAGAGAAAAAACCAAAACTCATGAATGAATGGTGCAGCAAAGTGAATGGCTATTTCTTCGGGATTACTTATATTTGCATACTGGCAAATTAAGCTGAGTATAATGCATAGATTCCTAAATTGGAAGCTCATCTAGCTTTAATGAAAATATATTTTCCCATTCACTCATATTAATCAGGGGGATTTCTTTAAACCTCACTGATCAATCTGCTTCCATTTCCAACATGGTGGAAGTATGACAACAACTTTTCATCCTGTTTTTTGTCCAACTACACCAATCACCATTTTCCTGAGCCACTGCTTAAAATAATAAAATTGTACGTTGGTGCATGAGGAATAATTTTTCAGCTGTAAAGATTAGATTAATTCACAAGGTCAGATTAATTCACAATTTTGGACCTATAGCCTGCTTGAGGGAAAAGATAGCGTACAGAGTATTATCTGGAAAAAATGGTGGTTCAGAGCAATACCTTTAAAAGAGGGGGACATCTCTGCAGGATCACGGGCCATCTTCTGATGAACAATATCCCTATCCATGTTGTACAATACTTACGTCCCCAAAAGTGGCACTCAGACAGGATTAAAGGGGATCTCTTTTGAGTTCATGCAGTGATTCTTAGTTACATCAGTAATAATTTTTCTGCAGTACGTGTTACATAATTGTAGCGTAACTCATATAGAAATGAGAGGAAGAATTATTTGCATATAAAACATTGCATATATAACCATTGTGAAAGTTCTTCAGTAGCTATTGTATAAACTAAGAATTCTAAATAGGCATTTTGCAATACGGTTATAACTCCCTTTATAAGAATACCTTTCATTAAATCTTTTAACCCATATTAGTATGATAAAATCTCCTTGAAGTTGAGATCCATCTAGCTTTCTTGGCAACAAGATTGATCCATTTCTCCCTTCCTGTCTTCTAGTTTCCATTTCTCTTTCCAGCCTACATCCCTGGGATTTTCTTCATGGTCTTAAATGAATCATTAAAAAAAAAATTTTAAATACAGAAATGTTAATATTGAAAACTGTACTTTTTAAATTTTAAAATCATACTGGA